GGAGAGTTCTGTCCACTCGTTGGACTTTAAGTAGTAGCTTCAACCAGAATAGGGGTTTGCTTTGGGCTGCTTACCTTTCTGAGTGCCTGACCCAGTCAATGGCAGACATAGAATGCTCCATAACCACATGTGCAGTTCTGTAGGCCATTGCTCCTAGTGCCTCTCTGAGGGAGCCAGGTTCTGGCTTGTGGTCCCCAGTAGGCCTAGAATTCCATTCACATTGATGCCAAAGTATAATATGTCCATATCAGCTTGGATAGTTCTGGGGAGCCTCTGGGGTCTCCCCTAGAAAATGGCGTTTCATCACATTCAACTTTCATTTTTTACATGTACATGTTCAGAGAAGGGAATTTATCATTTTACAAAGTTTTTTTTTTCTCTCCCGAACACTTGATTTTTGGCGCACAGGGGAAAATTTCCCAATAAACACGGCACATTACAGAGGTTAAGCAGCCCCAGGAAGCACACAATGAAACCCAGCTGTGAACAGGCTTGAAAGTCATCTCCCCCAAGTACAGCTGACAACAAGGGAACCTGGGCTGTAGGAGACTCGCATCCTGAGAAAGAGCCAAAAAGAGACGCAAAAGATTGGCCCCCCCAGAAACACTCATAACATGGTCAACACCTAAGGGCACCCCTGCATGTGGGTACAACATAAGCTGTACCAAGCCCCAATGTGAAAACAAAGGATTGTCTGCTACTCAGACTCCAAAACCTCCTAACACATCCAATGCAGGTAGGAAGACCAAAAATAATAAGAGGAAGGGTCCATCAATGAGGCACAAGCCAGGTCTTTCAATTGGTATGCAAAAAGGGCCTTCTGAGCCACTGCAGGAGTGACCCCCTAGAAGAAGGAAACCTCCAAAAGGATGATACTGATGGGCCCAAGGGCACACGGAACCAATCCCTTGTAGAAACCACATCCATGTCATATTCATACATACATACATATTCATATGAAAATCTCTACACCTGCAAAAGGAGAGACTTCTTGGTGGGAACATCATGAAGAGCCAAAACGAACCCAATAGCTCTTATCCAACTACACCCAAGCCCATAAAGCCGCAGCAGAGGGGCCCCAAGGCAGAGCCAGCATCCTCGCCCACTGCCTGGGATAGAAAAGCAGAGTACAAAGCCAAAAGAGCTTTGAAGGAAGAAGGGTTGGCTCAAAGGAAACCCAGAAGCCTCAGTGGGACTAGTAGGCTCAACTACTTCCATGCCTGCTAGTCCCACTAGCAGGCATCGTAAGAGACAACCCCTGGAGCTGGTCGAGCAATAACCCGAGTTAAACCTTGCCCCAGCCTTGAAACCCTCATGCACTTTGGAGCTGGAAGCAGAGGTGGGGGGGGGGGGGGAGTTTAGATGAAGGGGTGAACCACGCCCAAAGGGGAAGGAAGAGAATAGGTGGAGAGAGCCCAGGTACAATTTACCAACACGTACAAATCCAGGTCCCTAAACATCCAACTAGGCACATAACCTAGACCTCAGCAACCCAAAAACCTAACACACACAAAGCAGTCGCTGCCTGATTAGCCATAACCTCATCAAGAGTGTCAGAAAGAAGAGTCACATGGAGGAGAACAAACCTCACAGGACTCAGATTGACAGTGTCACCGACCCAACCGGCAGCATGGCAGAGGCAGAAGGAATGAATGTCATGGAGTACATGTAACATTCAAATATGCACAAAGTGAGAGCAGGTTTTGGGGATGGGAGGGTGGGGTAGTAACAAGGGACCACCAAACCTGCAGGGAATTTACAGGTCTTGAATGGGAGAGGTACCCAACATGACACCTAGGCACTGTGATGCTGTGCTGGTTATTTACTTATGTAAGCTGACACAATCTGATGCATGTGGCTGTGAAGACCGACTTCAGCACTGTAGCACGCATGTGAGTAGACAGTGCACCCCGCCAACCAGTTGTCATTTCTGACCCGAGTAAGGACAGGAAAGCCTCAAGACACCTGGCCTTATTGGGTGAAAACCACCACAAGTGAGGACCTCGAAGGAAGGCACTCCTGAACACCCCAGGAATGTGTTGCCCCCTGGCAGTGCAAGGGCAGTACTAGGGAGCTTACGGCTTACCCTGTGCATTTGCTTGAAGCACTCTTAACACTATCGGTAACTTTGGACCGGACTCGCGTCCATTATTTTTCTCCTGAGTCCTAACTTTGGACCGGACTTGCGTCCACTACAAAAAATATTTGTATAAAATTCATTTTTTATCCAATCGACCTCGGGATAGTATCAAAATAAGCGCCTTTAGAATGCGCACAATTTGATACCAAAATGAAAGATGTAACGTGAAACTTGATGTTCGAACACTTATATGATTATAAATAGGCTTTTGGTCAAAATTTTAAAATATTTGTTAAAATTCTATTTATTATGCTATTATGTTGGGACTAGTTTTAAAATGTGCGCCTTTACGTCGCGAACAATTTGATACCAAAATGAAAGATGTAACACAAAAATTTATGTCAGAACACTGGAAAGTTATAAATAATTTTGTGATGATGAGCATCCAGAATTAAAATATTTGTTAAAATTCCAGTTATTGCTCTATTATTCTGGGACTAGTTTTAAAATACGCGCCTTTTTATTGCAAACAATTTGATAACTTGTGACGGTAACGCGTTGGTGTTCGGCTGTTTAAGGCTAGGGGTATGGCCTCGTCACATAGTTATAAAAAAATAGAAAAACTGGAACTTCGTCTGTGGTAAGGTAAGGAGAAGACACACAAAACACAAGTAAACTTTAACAATGAAATTTTAATTACGTTAAATAAATCAAAACATGAAAATAATGCACAAACAAATTCTTATAATAAAATCAATGAATTAAAATAATAAGAATACTTAAATGACACAATGAAAAGTTACGTTAAGGCAAAATAACAAGAAGTGCAACACAAAGTAAAATGGGAGGTGCTGGAATATTGGCTTAAAGCCACCACCTCTCTCAGTACACGCTAACGTCTAGCTGGGAGGAGTGATGACCACGAAAGCACTGAACATTCTGAAGTCCGAGGTTGGGGCGACCCCAGACATCAAGTAGTATGGGGGGGCGAGTGCAGGTGCAGCCAGACCGGCGACCAATCAGCGGAGCCGGCAGCGATCAACATGTAGTTTGGTGGTTTGGGTCCGAACAGGTGGCTGGCTGCATACGTTTTGCTCACCCTGGCAAGCCTTGCTGGTGTTGTTGTCATTGTTGGACATGTCGTCCATAGTCGTTTTATATAACCACAACGACGTAATTGTGGAGGGAAGAGCAGGCTCAATCTCTTGAAGGAGATTATCGTCACAGATACCAAAATGAAAAACATAACACGAAATTTGATGTTATCAAATTGAACAAGTATACACATTAGGTTGCAGTGTACAAATTGGTGCTCGTTCACGGGTAACTTTAGGCTTTTCTGCGGGGAGGCACTCTAGGCTTTTGTACATTATATTCATACACATCTGTAGGGAATTTATTTGCGAACACAATGATACCAAAACGAGCGACGTAGCACGAGAATTAAGGTGAGAAAAATGGAATGAGTATGCACATGTTACTGATTTTGTGCACTCACGGGTAACTTTTGCAGACTTAGGCTTTGCTGTTGGGAGTCACACCAGGCTTTTGGACATTATATTTATACACACCTGTAGGGAATTTAATTGTGAACACAATGATACCAAAACGAGCGACGTAGCACGAGAATTAAGGTGAGAAAGCTGAAACGAGTATACACATTTAGGTGTCACCGCGCGCTTACCCACATGCTCGGCCGCACGCTCGGTACATGACCCCTAAGTTTACCGTGAGCCTGCCCGGTGACCGATAGTGTTAACACTCCTGGATCATGCAACAAAGTAGTGTTCAGGAACTGTCACAAAGGCAAAACCTCCACTTAGCTGAAAAACAGAACACTGGAGCCAGAACAAGAGAGAGACAACCTGCTGCATGCTACATCAGCACTGAACTGAGGGTAGAGACAGTGGCTGACCATGAGCAACCTCCCCCTCCCACTCAAATTAGTCTGGGTGAGGGGGGGGGGGAGAAAATGAGCTGGTGCTAGATTTGAGAGAGTTTGATCACCAGTTTACATAGTTGGGAGTTCTTTGGAAGTTTTAGAAGCTGCAGTCTCTATTGAAGCCAGCAGTTGTTTGTTTTGACTTGCAGACTTTCTTGTTGCCTTCCTTGGTGGTGGCATACATAAATAAATAAATGTACAGTATATGATAGCTTGAGGGAGCCACAGGTGACTTCCCCCAGAAAATAATTTACTTAGAAGCAGTAGTCCCTCTAATATTTTGCAAGTCTGTATATGGAAATAGTTTCTTACATGACCAGAATCTATGGCAGAAGGAGCAAAGTAGCCCCCCTTTGAATGGTTGAGGTACATTTGATACATTGAGACAATTTGATAAACAGTAAGAGCCCAAGACTTTTCAACTCCTTTTCTCTAAACATAAGGGGGTATAACTAGCTAATGTGTCTCGGTGTTCAAAAGGGAAACTTGATAAATGCCTCCAAAGGATACCTGATGAATAAAAGTTATAATTCAAACATCCAGCTATGAGCTGCAGCATTTAAAAGCCTGGTTAACTGCAAACCACCAATTAGGAGGCCTGGTCAGAAACTGGGCTGTGTGAACATTGGTTCCCAGAACCACCTCAAGGTATGGTAACCCTGAGTGGTTTAGGCAGGGTTTGGTGTCGATTTCATCAAGATTCTTTCCCTACGTTTGGCATAACTTCTTGTTTGTCCGATGGTTTGGGTATCCAGTAGTTTATTATATTATGCTATTGGTTTTGGGTCAATGTCTGCAAACTACCCTCAACATGACAGCCAGATTCTGATATGTCATCATGGGGTCTTGAGGGGACTAGTTTTCTTCTTTAGGCTTGGCAACACTAGTGTGCAAGCTACTGGGAACTACTGACAGGGTATCCAAGAAAACATAATATATTTCCATAATGTGCTATTTATTCTGTTTGCCACTTTCCAGTGTCCACAGCTAAAATCCAGGGATCCTAGACACTCCATATGGATGCTCCAAAAGCAGCTGACACAACCATCAAAAAATAAACAGCTAAAAGAATTGCCTGCTGATGATCTTAAAATTATCAGAAAAAGCACTGAAGCTCCCAAGCAAAATACAGAATCTCTTGTTAACCAGTAACGTCAGATAATAGCAATTAACGTTCATATTATCTATTTTTTGGTATTACAGTACTTTCTTTGTTTACTGTAGTAATGTTTACTGAAAAAATTATATTTTTAACATTTACAAATTGCTAGAAGTTGACTAAACTTTAGGTATTGTAGTAGTCGATTGGTGTCCATAATTGAAGTTAGCCAACTTAACAATTTATGTTTGCAACAAGTTGTATTAGTTGTAGGTTAAAAAATAAAGTGTTACTCCAAGTATAGCTTAATTGCATATCTGATCATTGTTTTAATGAAGGGTAAAAACATCAGCCTCACAATTATCCATGTATATTTTTTTGTATAATTTTTTTTTAGCACAATAAACCTTTGAATGTTTATGGCTTTCAATATACATAACCAAGATTTGCATCTGGACCCTTTTTATAAATTTAGTTTTAAAACATTATTTAGAATGCTTTTCAGTTAATTGCCTCTAGAAAATCCACTTAAACTTTGTACATACAATTTATAATTTGCAAATATGATTGCAATTTATATTTACAGTATATATGCAGGTTGCATAAAATTGGTAAACTTAATATTGTACAGCGGGAACTTACCACTGCACTGCTCTGCATTAAAGAATGACAACCCCCATAGTGTGCCAAAAATAAATGCTTTCCAAAAAACTATTTTCTCATCTTATATAGTAGTGTTAAAATGCAGTCTCTGATCACGGAAAACTAAAAAAAATATATATATATATTGAATGTGACATTAGCAGTGATGGAGTTGGGAAATTGAGCAAATTATGGGCGCTGAACGATGGAGCGCTCAGGGTCACTCAGCTCCGACACTCAGTGTGGCGGCAGTTGCCACGAATATAATGTTTCACAATTATTCTTATGTTTCTCATTTGTTTCTTCTCTGATTTTTTGCTGTAATATCATTCAAAAGTGTGTAATTTGTGGAATTTATTTAGTTCAATTTGTGGAACATTGCTATGATCAAAATTATGGGGCTCATATATGTGACTTATATATTATTTTCTACAATCAATCAAACAGTGTTTTTGCTGTTATTACACTATATACACACATGGTATGTATCTAAATATGTGTTCACCATAACAAACTACAAAGTTGGTATGGTGAGTCAAAACAAGAGTTGGCTGCCACACCCAGCCAGCCCTCCCTCACTCCTTTAACAACTAACTCACCAACACTACTCCTCCCAAAATACTGTTTGTGGAGGAGTAGTGTTCTGGTATGGTGTCCAGACAGCATAGTGGCCACTATACACTGTATGACAAGTCACACACACCAGCCAACAGATGATGCTAGGAGACAACGTCAACTCCCTCACCAAAATGGTTCCTCCCAACATACTCCTATTGTTGTTATTACACTCTATACACACGTTATATATAAATATCAACATTTTTATTCACCATAGCGAACTACTAAGCTGGTATGGTGAGTCCAGACAATACCAGGTTGCCACACAGAGTCAGCAAATGACGTCACCTCTCCCTCCTTCCCTCACCAAGATTACTGATCCCACCATACTATGCACAGTGATAATTATCACCACAATACTGCTATTATCAGAATCTTAGTCACTAAATCCTGTAAATGAATAATTTACCAATAGTTTATTTTGTAAAGGAACATGAAAAGTCGTTTGAAGATTCCTAGATGGATGAAATAATGGCAGTGTGCTGTGGCAAGTGCTGTGAACATCTTGACCAGCATTGATTCACTGATATCTGAACATTGTACACACAGTCTTTATCAGTCAGGCTCTTCGGTAATACTATCAGGGCTAAATAATACCAGTTACATATATATTTTGACATTATTAGGTGATGCTGTAGTCACTAGCTGAACAGCAGTGCTGTTAGCTGATTTTGCATATGCCAGCCTCGGTAGCTCACTCAGTACTGAGGCTCTCAATGTTGCCCACGATTGTTTTTTTAAATGGCGTCTGTTTACTAGAGCCCTGAGGAAGCTGATGTGAATCCCATGTAGCCGCATGAGTTTTGAATGCTACTCTATACTTTGGAGCGCCCTGAGGCACCTTGCGCACCAACAATCTAGCACCTCAAGGCACATTGCACATTGGAAACATTAAATTGTGGTGGACGGGGGGTTGTCAAGGCTTATTCATTGCGTGGAGAACTTCATTCAAACCTTCAAGCCTTGGTAGTCCCCATGGAATTCTTTCAAATAGGGCTTAAAGTAACGATCACCTGAGGATCACAAAGAACATTGTGCAAGGAGCATATGCTATGCTTTCCAAGTTTAGAATCGTTTTTAAATACTGTACAAGGATGGCAAAATATTAAACAAATTATTGACGACCTTTGTGAGACCAAAGTTGGAATATGCAGCGGCTGTATGATTCCCATTCAGCGTATATAATAATAATATGCATACCGCTGCATACATAATATGCAGCGGTTGTAAAGATACATAATAATTTACATGTGGAAAATAGTAGAGGGGCTGGTCCCAAACCTGCACATAGAAATAACACCACATGAAACCAGAAGGCTTGGCAGGATGTGCAGAATACCCCGTTGAAAAGCAGAGGTGCAGTAGGTACTCTGAGAGAGAACTCTATAAACTTCAGAGGCCTGAGACTTGTTCAACATGCTTCCACTACACATAAGGAGCAAAACAGGCTGACCCCTCACAGTGTTCAAGAGAGAACTTGATAACAATCTCCAAAGGATACCTGTTCAATCAGGTTGTGACTCATATGTCAGGCTGCTCGCAGCCGCATCCAACAGCCTGGTTGACCAGTCCAGCAACGAGGTCTGGTCGAGGACTGGGCCTCAGGGACGGTAAGCCCCGAAATCATCTCAAGGTAGGTAAGGTGCCAATATCTCAAGAAGCACTTAATTAAATGAGAAAAGTTTCATGCAACATACACTGCAAGACATGCAACTAAATAGATTCAAGAACTAAAAACGAGCTACAAGGAGAGGTTATAGGCATTAAATATACCAAAGCTAAAAGTAGAAGGAAAGATGGTGACGTGATTACTACTGGCAAAACAGTAACAGGAATCTACAAAATTGACAAGGAAGAATTTTTGTAAACTCCAACTTCAAGAACAAGAGGTGTAAATTAAGGAAAAATTAAGGAAGCTGCCAAAAAACTATTGGAAAGTTCACTTTGGCAAATGTGATGAGTGATAGACGGTTGGAACAAGTTAAGTGAGTAAGCGGCAAAGGCCAAAACTGTCAATAGCTTCAAAGCATTATACATTATAACAAAGAGTACTGGGAAGACAGAACACCATGAGCATTGCTCTCATTATGTAATTAAACTTAGGTGATTATACACCAATACAACTTTGTTACTAACTATGACCAAACCAGACAGTTAAAAGTGAAAGAAATGACAACATTTTGGTCCAACCTTAACTATTATCATGCCGTGTGAAAGGAGGAGGATGGTACAGGCAGATATAAGGTAAGAGATTGAGGTGAGGAGCAGGTAGGAGAAAGGTAAGAATAGCATGAATGTAAGAATAAGGTATGAATAGGCTGAATGTAAAAATTTAGTAAGAATAGGATGAATGTAAGAAAAAGGTAAGAATTACGAAATTAAGGAGAGTAAGATTAAGAAAAGGGGGTAGGAATAAGCAACAGGGGCAAATCTCAAGTCAGATCACATTTGTAAAGAAGGTTGTAGCATTTACGTATGTACTGTGAAAAGAAAAGGGTCAACAGCTACAAAGCCAGGACTAAGGTTCATGTTGGGCATTAGTGTATCAGAGCTGATTCAACAAGATGGCATCTGTGAAGAGAAGAGGCAGAAAAGATTATTTTCGAAGAAGACCTATCTATAGGATGATTAAAGTCGCTAACATAACAGAAGAGCATTGTTTGTGTCTGCAGACTTAACACTTCTTGTACTCGCCTAGTTGTGCTTGCGGGGGTTGAGTTTTGTCTCTTTGGTCCCGCCTCTCGGCTGTCAATCAACTGGTGTATAGATTCCTGAGCCTACTGGGCTGTATCATATCTACATTTGAAACTGTGTATGGAATCAGCCTCCACCACATCACTGCCTAGTGCATTCCATTAATTAACTACTCTGACACTGAAAAAATTCTTTCTAACATCTCTGCGGCTCATCTGGGTACTAAATTTCCACCTGTGTCCCCTTGTTCGTGCCCCACCCGTGCTGAAGAGTTTGTCTTTGTCCACCCTGTCAATTCCCCTTAGATTTTTGTAGGTGGTTATCATGTTCCCCCTTACTCTTCTGTTTTCCAGGGACGTGAGGCTCCTTTAGCCTTTCCCCGTAGCTCATTCCTCTCAGTTCCGGGACGAGCCTGGTTGCATACCGCTGAATCTTCTCTAACTTTGTCTTGTGTTTAACTAAGTATGGACTACAGGCTGGAGCTGCATATTCCAGGATTGGTCTGACATAAGTGGTATACAGGGTCCACATTAGCACTTCTTGTGTGTTTCTTAACTTGTCATTTAGTGTTCGGCCAGTTTCACTAGAGTATTGGAGAGGACAAGACAAACAGGATGGGGAACATAGGGACAAAGAACAATAGTGGGATGACGAACAGTTTCGAATTAATCTGTATAGAAATTGGCAAGAACAGAAGAGAGATGAACCTATAGCAACACCAAAAGTTTGAGAGAAGTATTTTTCAATGAAAGAGGAGATAGCATCAACACAGACTCTGATGAGTTCACGGAAAACGTCAATACGGGAGAGGATGGCCCTCAGTCGCCTTCTGACTAAGGAAAGAGAGATCATCATCAAGGGGAATATTAGTAAACAGAGAATCAACATCAAGACTAAGCATCTTACAGGAGGGCTGCAGGCTTAAGAAGTCTTAGAAGGAAGTTTAAGTCTTTTTATGAAGTCCTGAGAGTGATGGAGGTGGTTTGTTTAGTTAATTTATTATACACCCCATACTCATCTTGTGGGCGGTAGTGGAAAGGGTTACAGAGGCACATAATGGGCTCAGGGACTGAACCCCACAATTCATTTAGCTAAGCAAGTTACAATCTTGATGAGCTAGTTACAAAATTCAATATAAGTCGTCACATCAACAATGGGTTCGAGATCGACCTCAAGTACAGGTTCTAAATTAAGCAACTGACATATGTGGAGAGCTAGTGTCAAAATTTATATGTTTGTCCTGCACACCGCCCCCATCCAGTGGGCAGCGGTGGATAGGTTACAATCACCTAGTTACTACCTACAGTTAGCAAACTGGGGATATTTGGCTAAAATTTCTGGTAGCAGATCTTTTTGAATTAAATATTGACACATCGCTGGAACATTGGTTATAGAATTGTCTCTAAATTCACGTATCTTTTCGCACTCCATCGCTTTTTTTATGCAGTCAAGTATAGACCCAGA